AATTTCAAAGATTGTTTTTATGTGTCCCACACATGAATTTTGCAATGTGATCAACAAATGATATTTATGTGTCGGACACATACTTAATATGTGTACACATAAAAGCCATGTGTAACCACACATACTATTCATTTGACTCATACATTTCATGTGTGCTTCTGGGTGGATTCTGTTTATGTGTGGTCACATGAAAATCATGTGGAATTTCACATAGAAATTCGTCAATAAAAATGTGTGGAATTTTATTAGTGCTGCTAAACTTTAACTGAAATGATTATGGAACTTTACATGAACGTTTGTGTGATAAAGTTATAACCTTATGTATTATGGTTTTTTGGAAGTGAACCTTACAAATAATGGGTTGTTAAGAACCATTTCACTCAAAAAATTCCACACATTTTTGTTGACGAATTTCCATGTGAAATTCCGCATGATTTCCATTTGACCACATATAAACAGAATCCACTCAGAAGTACACAAGAAATGTATCTGTCAAACTTCCATAGCGAATCAAAACAAACATAGTGTAGTACTAGAAATTTGACTAGAATGGGGTACGAAAATCGATTTGCTTGGGACCAAGTAGTGAGCCAATTTAAAATCGGTAGTGTCCACAAGTCATTTTAGGAAACCCTGAAAATTTTCCGTTGGAAGCAGATTTGTCTCTCACTCTAGCTTTTGCCCTTCCATTTTATTTTTGGCCAATGAAACACAGATATCGAGATTAATTTGTGTAGCATATACAAAAAACTACATTGTTTGCCTCGATGGTGATGATGGATTTTTAGTTTTTGGATTTTGTAGTAGTACACACAAACAACGAAAATTGTATTTATAAAAATAGTGCATTTTCAAATTAAAAGTTTCCCAAAATTTGTAGATTCAACAGCAAAAATATTCAAAATAAAAGTTAGTTTTTTTAATTGAAAGTTTTTCTTTTACTTTTGATTCGTGGTTTTAAAAGTACATATTTTAAAACAAAAGTTGTAAAACTGTCAAAAGTACCCCTCAGCGATGTTTTTACTGGCTGCACTGACATCTCATATGCCGCCTTTTCTGCTAGCCTGGCCGCTGTGAACATGAAATCCAGCTCTGAAGTTACAACAAGAGTCAGGATTCTTCTGTGGGATACCAGACACTGAAGTTTTCTTAGTTGGATATTCCGACATTATTTGCTGCTATGTAAAGACCCACGTGAAATTGGCATTCCAAATGGTAAGTACACTATTTTCATTGTTATTGTTATTGGATTTTTAGATTCTTTTTTAATCAGGCTATGGAATCTACCAGGACGAAGTCGCGACAGTTTTCGGTATAGACCTTATCAAATTCCTGTTGGAGAAGGATCAAACCCTACTGAATAATAACGAAAAAGGTAAATTAAACTTTGATCGGGAGAAGGACGAGAACCAGCTGCCCGTAAAACCCGTCACCTGTTGGTACTTTATGAAGCTGCGGCATAGGATTTACAGATTGCGAAATGGAAAACAATATCAAGCTTGCCTTGCCAGTGTCCAGATTTTGTGTTCCTCGTATCGACCTTCACTTGACGGGATGTGAATATGTGTCTCTCCGTGAATCTTATTGCATAACGCTTAATTATTTGTAAAGGAAATGGATAATAAATGTATTTTAATCTTTTTTTCTAATATCTAAAAACCTTAAATTAAATATTATTTAGAATTTAAAATGAATAAAGATGTTATTACGGTAAAAATGTGTGTTTTTCATTTCAAAATGTTACTTGTCGTTTTAACTATATCACATTTTCAAACCAAAACTTCGTCTTGAATTGAAAAGAACCTGATTTTAATTCCATCACTGCCGTGCTTTTAATTTGACAGTATCACAATTTATTTTGAAAGTTTTAACTTTTAAAAGTATAGAGCGAACAATTTTTGATTTAACAGTTGGCTGACTTTTGTTTTGAAAGTCAACCGCTTTCTACCAAAAAGAACCAATGCGAACTTTTAATTCTATCAATGATTTTTTTAATTTTAGCAATGATTTTTCTTTGTGTGTAACAGTAAAAATAGCTTTGAGTAGTCAACAATGGTTTGAGCCTCGCGCGCGGAATACAGGTATAAATGACTAATACGTAGAAATTGTGACAAAAGGCTTCAATTAGTAAAGGGTTTGGTGAAATTCATTTCCTTGCATATAGTCCTGGCACTGCGGAAGCTTAAACGTGTAAATCCCAGGTCACGTGTAAATGGAAGTATTGTCGAGGACTATACTTGGACTCTTGATAACTAGTTACACCTTTGAATGTTTTTGGTTGATGCCTATAGCGAATCAAAACAAACATAGTGTAGTACTAGAAATTTGACTAGAATGGGGTACGAAAATCGATTTGCTTGGGACCAAGTAGTGAGCCAATTTAAAATCGGTAGTGTCCACAAGTCATTTGAGGAAACCCTGGAAATTTTCCGTTGGAAGCAGATTTGTCTCTCACTCTAGCTTTTGCCCTTCCATTTTATTTTTGGCCAATGAAACACAGATATCGAGATTACAGCGTTTGCAGAATAAAGTAATGCGTTTGATTTTAAGATGTAATAGATTCACTTTCTCAACTTGTATGCTGGACGCTTTGCAATGGCTGTCAGTGAAGCAAAGAATTGAGTTTTTGACTATGGTGTTCATTTTTAAAGTAGTTAACGGTTTGCTGCCTCGATATTTGTGTGATCGGATTGAAAGAGGAAGTGATTTTCACAGATATAACACTAGAAACGCGGATGAAGTAAGAACACCACATCTTTTGAATAACGAATCACAAAATTCATTATTTTTGAAAGGTATAAATGTTTTCAATTCGATGCCTAGACACATCAAGCGTGCAACTACACTTACAGAATTTAGGAGACGCTGCATTTCACATGTAAAAGCTGTTTATTGAGCAGTTAAATTTTCATGGATGGATAAATCATGTATCTTGACAAAGTTATCTCTAACGGATTATTTTGTATGGAGACTGTCATAAAGACATTTTAGTAATTTATGTAGCATATACAAAAAACTACATTGTTTGCCTCGATGGTGATGATGGATTTTTAGTTTTTTGATTTTGTAGTAGTAACAGTAAAAATAGCTTTGAGTAGTCTACAATGGTTTGAGCCTCGCGCGCGGAATACAGGTATAAATGACTAATACGTAGAAATTGTGGCAAAAGCCTTCAATTAGTAAAGGGTTTGGTGAAATTCATTTCCTTGCATATAGTCCTGGCACTGCGGAAGCTTAAACGTGTAAATCCCAGGTCACGTGTAAATGGAAGTATTGTCGAGGACTATACTTGGACTCTTGATAACTAGTTACACCTTTGAATGTTTTTGGTTGATGCCTATAGCATATTTAACCGGACATTTATATCTGTAATTGTAACCAGCTTGATTTTGTTTGCAAACCTGGTTGAAATGTTTATCGGGAAAGAGCTTTCTGCAGGCAGTCGGTGATAATTTTGATCACCATTGCCACAGTTGCACATTTGTGTAATTTTCAATAGTGACCTATTGTAAATTGATAAAGTGTTTATTTTAGCCAAGTCTTAGAAAAATTTCCAATCGATTGGCTTGTTTAGAATTAAAATTCATCCGCTACTGACAGAGTTATAAGTGGTCAAAACCTGACCACTTTTCGTAACGCAGTTGATTTTGTTTTTTTAATTGCACCCCCAATATGTTACCGAAAGACGTAATCCTACGTCAAAAGAATCCCGGAAGTTTTCTCTATCTTTTCTCCAAATCAAACGCACAGTTCCTAATTTTGCTCATGGTATATTTTTTTTCCAATTATACATGCCACATAGTTTTGGATGAACATAGCTTCACTGCTGGTTGGTTGTTTCTGATCAACTGGCGCACTTTGCTAGTCAACCAGTTCCAATTTCATAGTTCAATCGTATCATCGCTCCTTCTCGCTCTCTCTCTTTTCTAAAACCATTATTACGCATTTTCTGCAGTATGTCAGTATGTTTCTGTGTGTGTGTGTTTGTGTTCTGCATTTTTTGCATACTATGCATTCCCTTTAGCAGGTTCACTCAAGTCCACAGTTATGTTCTGCTATATTACAGGAAACTTATCCGATAAAAGAAGAGTAACATACACAAACATATAACGCCGAATGGGTCAGAGCGTCACTGTACAAAGAAAAGGAAAAACTTAGATTAAATCATGCTGAAACCTAGTCTGCTGTAAAATTATATGGTACAATACTCATTAAAACCTACGTCACTGAGAGGAGAATACCTTAACGATAAATAAATCTATCATAATATAAATTCATTATATTACAGGGATTAGGTAATGTTTTCATTTACTTTTTGCCAAACCACCATTTTAATTCAAGCCCGCTAGTAAAAGTTTGGATGGCTGCCAAAAGCTGTTTCAATCGAACTGTCAAAATGCACTGGTTTTGTTCGATTGGAACAGCTTTTTTCAGTTTTCTGGTGCCAGTCGTCCATACTTTTACTATAGGGTAATAGCTTTTTTCCTTTCATTTTATAGTTGATCGTATGCGAGTGTGTGATTTTGTATTTTTTTTGTCTGTGTGAGAAGTAGGTTATGTTTCTTTCGATTACTTTTGGTTAGTTTGTATGCTCTATTCGGTTTTCCAAACTTGTTGCTAGTCATGGGCGTCTACGTGTCTATTTTCCTGTCTTTATTTTTTTATTTTTTTCCGAGTGATTAGTTAATGATTTGAATTTTCTGACCGAGGAAGGTGGGGAGGAACGTTTGGAAAAAGAAACACCTACAAATTTGTCGATATCATTAAATTGGGATAGGACAAGGAGGAGTTTGAAAAATTGGGTTGATGGACTGAACTGCTTCATTTTGTGTTTGGTTTGTTTTAGTAACAGTTATTGACTGACGCTGATCAGAGAGGATTGTATCGTTTCGTTTTAATTGTTTTGTTATTTTGACCTATTCTACTTACACCTCATGGTTGGTTTCTTGCTTTTATCCATTTTCATACTGTATAATTGTATATATTCTTGTTTGATTTCTATATATAATAATAGTCATAATATTTGTTTTTCAATATACTTAGTTTTCCTCCACGTCACGCACTGTCCTCTTGCCTTGTTAATTTCAAATAATAAGGTACAGATACTTATTACCCAGCAGTAGCGATAACAATTTATTAGTGTGTATGTGTGTAGTTGGTTTTGCTCTTTATCCGTTGCATTTTTGTTTTCGCTAAAATTGTATATAACTGTGTGACAATTGATTTAATTCGCATTAACTAATGTTCTTCAACTGCTATTGTTATCAGGGGGCTGATGAAGATGATCAAACCATGCGGGATTTGGTAGTTTAGAATCGAATTACCGTTATTATTTGTTTGTTTGTTTAAGTGTAAAGTTCTACACACGAAGAGCAGCACGATAACTATTTGTTTTGTTCAGTAAAAGCAGGTGTTTGTTTATCTATATTTTCACTGTTTGTGTTTTGAAATTTGAAACATCGTGGCGTGCATTTTAAGATTTTCCGATTCCGTTTGATTTTTTATTAAAATTTAATGTTTCCTAAATTTGGCTTTAGCGTGTACAGCTGACATCAGAGTTGCCAGTTGCGTGAAGAGAAATGATATAGGGCCCTATTATGTAAGTCGTGTCGAGCGTCACGGCTGGTCACTAGTCTAGTATTACTTCTGTAATATCGAAATCGTCCAGTGAACAGAAGCGACGCTCGACTCGACTTGCATAATAGTACCCATACACTCTAATATTTTTTTTAGTTTTCGAGCTTTTACGGTAGCATTGACATTTATCACCAACTCCGCACACAGAACCTGTTCAAAATTTGATAGGGATAAACCGGTCCGATGAAGCCCACCAATTGGCAGTTCTTCTATATTGGGCTGCTATTTGAAATGAGTCCTCCTTGAATTCAGTTGCAAGCATCAAAATACACGCCACCAGTTTTTGTTTGCTGCATATATGTAACTTACATAAAACAAGTTTTTATACCTTCCTAACTTTCTGTCTGTTTTGTGCGCAGATTCCGAAAACATTTCACGAACAGAATTTATTTTACCACATTAACCGTTAATTGAAATCTTGATGCCACGCGCCGTTTTTCTTTACCTACACGTTCATCCGATTATGGTTTCTCGTATGACTTTTGAGATAAGTTTCAATTGTTTGTTTATTTTTTTGTTCCTAAATTGCCTTTTCGCTAACAATAAATATTGTTCAAAAGTGTTAGTGTTTGTTTTGCTTAGTAGTGACTGTTTCCTTTAGAATAGATTTTGATTTTGCTTCATTCCAGTTAATATTTTCTTTGAGTAAATCTTAACTCATATGAACAATTAAGCTTTATTTACAAATAATATTATTAACCACGAAATGATAACAAAAAAAAAGTGGTACAAATATATTAGCTTGCATATAAGTGTAAACTGAGAATGTAGGTGATAGTTGCAATATAAACGAGAAATTAAATACTATACAATAGCAAAATAAAAACAATAGATTTCGTTAAAGATAAATAGTAGCAAAAAATAGGTAAACAAAAAGTACGTGTAGATTACGCTGTATGTTTGTTTTTTTTTTTTTGGAATTGTTTCTAGACTCTGAGAATAGGTTGCTGCATTGATTTCCCTAATATTTGTCAGCCTACAGACATATATCCTCTTCCTGGTAAACTCTTTCTCAGCTGTTTAGTTTTGGATTGTTTCGCACACCCCTGGACTAGAACTCGAAAAGTACAATATTACACCATCATACAATTAATATATACTCTTAAATAGTGTGTGTGTGTGTTTGTGTTGTTGTAGGCAATCGCATAACAAACGGTTTCCCTCCTCTTGTGTTGCATGCATTCGGGATTTTGCACGAGTCTGAAGTGATTCATCTGCCGATATGTGATTTGATTGTTGCTGAAGTTGTTATTGTTCCACTGTTGCTGTGAGTGGTTGATGTTGATGTTGTTGTTGCTGTTGTTGTTGTCTCTTGCTGTGATGGAGTTGGTAAAGGATGCTCTGCGGTAGGCAGCTTCGGAGGTATCCGTCGCTCTACCACCAGCTTCCGACACTAGGAGGGTGTTTTGAGCAGACGCTTCAGCCGGAATTCGTATACACGCTGACAGTACATGACCAGATCGGGTGCCACCACAGGTGGAGGAAGCCGGATATTTTCCCGTCGCAGGGGCGGAACAATCGACGGCTGCTCCTCGATGCCTTCCTCGAAGCCCTTCAGCAGGCGACGAAACCTAGAAATAGGAGAAGATTGAGATAATGGTTCACAGGAAGCTGTCAGCAGAACTGGCAACACTGGCGGCAAGAGTTTGACATTATTTATTTATTTAACTTTTACAATGCAGAGAGTTTGTCTACGATAGTTAAAAACCTACAATTCGATGTCTGGTGTAACTCAGTCTCTGAATTACTTTCAACGGGCGTGTACACCGCCCATTGATCAGTTCACGAAGATTTGCCGCACTCTTCTCTCACCCGTAAGTTTTGACAGTTTTGGGTGGTTTGTTTTGGCTCCCATTCGTTGCTATCTCTTTTACTCAGAAGCAAAATGATAGGGAGCAAAAAGTGAGGTTAGGGACCGTGCACTGATCTATAAAAGCATAACAATCTCATCTAGAAAGATAGCAAGCCGAAAAAAAAACACAGTTGAAAATTTATGTGTCCGCATGCTCTTATGGATGAGACAACCTAGTTTTGGAATTTTTTTTTTATTGGGTATCAAGCTGGAACTGCGTTACAGCTTGGTTTTCAAGACTTGACCCATTTGAATAAATTTTGTTTCTATCTTTGACAATACAGCAGAAGGACTAGCCTATGTTGGCAGCTTGAACACTGGATTCCGTGTGTATTGTTTCAAGATAGTTATAGAAACAAATACTGTGACAAGTGCGCGTAGATACATCCGCGTAGTAAACCGATTGAATAAGTAAATCCGTTTCCAACGAAATATCTAAATTATGGAAGTTACGAAAACGTGAATTCCGAAAGCCGTGCGAGACAACCGAAGCGATAAAAAAGGCTACATTTAAGAAGTGCCACCAAAATAAATGTGATAGCCTATGTTGGCAAGTTGATTAATTTTGATTTCCTTCCTAGATATTCTACTTATTTACTACTGAGCTTTGTATGAAATTAGTTAATATACAGAACGTATCAATCATTTTAAAATTTCGCGACCGTACCGAACAAATTCTAAACTACATAAGCTCAAAAAAACTTTTGGTAAGCTCTTCCGAATTGCGAATCACTTCTGCGTAAGCTCCGTGGACGTAGGCCCGTTGATTCCGACAGCCGCGAAAAGTTAAGCATGCATCAATACCACATAAGGAAAGATCGATTTTACAGTCACGTAGGGTTTAGTTCATAGATTAACATTGACTGCTGTTTACAAATGTAAGTACTTGAACACTAAGAAATTAGTTAACTCAAATGCTTTGACCGCATATATCAGAAATCGATTGAAATCGCGTATTGAGAGAATAATATAGTAATCGAGTATAATATGTTGAGCCCCTCAAGCGGCGACAACTTCATCAACTAGAGAGAAACCATGATACTTATGTTTGTTATCGTCTGTTTTACTTCCGCTGAATAAAACTGTCATTCCTTTTGCTGTTCACGTTCAGTACACACGTGTTTCATTACTTCCCGATCCGAGTTCTTTTTCCATTGCGATTGCGGCCACTCCAACAGGTTATGGGCCCAGATGGTTTCGTTACGGATCGTTAGCGGGAAGTGTTCGGGATCGCTTTTTGGTTGCTTTAGTTCGAGTCGGATTATTATTTTCCGCGAAAGTCGCGAGTGAGAGTTGTCCAGCTGAATAACTCTAATAACCCGGCGTGGTCCTCCTCCGTCACGGTGCTGCTCCGGTGAGAGCAGCTGTGGAAATACGTCAACCCGGGAGTCGCACCGAATCCAGTCATAGAGGTAACTCTAATGTCGTTTTCGTTTTTGCGGTGTAGCACCGGTGTAGTGTAAGCAGGAATAAGCGTGAGTCTTTGACAGCTCAACATCATTTGTTTGTAAACAAAGGTGCATCCTATATCTACACCTTAAATTATTTCGGTGTACGGCAGTGTAGCACCGGTGTAGCTACACCGCAAAAACGAAAACGACATAAGACTAGAAGGTCCCGAAATAACGTGCTCAACTTTTTGGCTCAGCTCTGGTACCCTCTTCGGTCCCAAGCTAATCGAGTCACCCCTCGAAACATAGGAAAAACCAATAACCCCTCATTTTATCTGTCAAACTTTCATAGCGAATCAAAACAAACATTGCGATAAAGCAACCAGCGAAAGAGACGTGGGATCGGGATGCATTCAAGCGGCACCACAACAAAACGTCTCTGGGGCAGAAAGTGACGCTGCTCAAGCAAATCACCAACCAAAATTACCGAGTGGGTTATCTTGCCGGCATCGAGAAGCATTACGCTCGTCTCTAGAATTCGGGCTTCGAGATGACCGAATGCTTGAAAGTGGCGTTGATCCTTCGTGGCCTCCCGGACGCGTTCAATCCGTTGACAACAGCGTTGGAGGCACGGGAAGAAGATGAGCTCACACTTGAGTTGGTTAAAGTGAAGCTCGTCGGCCAGGCGGAAAAGCAGAAGAAGCAGAAAGGTGAAACGAAGAAGCAGGCGCAAAACTTTCGAACAAGGGCGCGCGTGCCCTTGGGCAAAGTGCAAATTGCTGTACGGACAGAAAGTCGTGGTCTGTATCGGTTGAATCTGGCCAGTGAGCGTTCGTTGTTAGTGAGTGACAAAGGACACACCGGTAAATGTCAACATACGTGGCATCGCCGGCTCGGCCACAAGAATCCGGAAGCCAGCAAGGAAGCGGTGCGTAAGGGTCTGGTGTCTGGAATGTGCGTCAGTGAATGCGGAATCCGAGCGACGTGCGAGTGCTGCGTCAAGGCGACGATGGCTAGGCCGTTTTTTCCACAGGTAGCTCAGAAAACGTCAAAGGAGGTGCTCGATACAGTCGACACAGCGAAGTCTGCGGTCCGATGACGGAGACTCCGGGCGGCTGTAGGTACTATATGACGTTGATCGACACTATGGTGTATTTTCTCAAGGAAAAATCGGGGGTCGAAGGTAGGATTTGAGTATGCTACTCGACGCCTACATTCAAAATAGGTTGCCGTCCGCTGCTGTTGACAAAACTCCGTCCGAGCTTTAGTTCGTCGGATACTCTTCCGAGCATAAGGCATACCGGCTACTGGATGTGCGTACCGGCCGGATTGTAGCGAGCCGAAATGTTCAGTTTTTGGAGTTCAACGAAGCGAAGCCACCGGATGCTGCCTACGACCCGTCGGAGGCAATCAAACGAGGTGTGGACAAAGAGGTATTTGTGCAGGTAGGAAGTACGGCCAATAACGCGGAAGAAGAATTTTTCGGATGTGATGACGGCTGGGACGAAGACGGCGATGGTCGTTTTCTAAGCGTTGAGAACGAATCAGGTCAGGAAGAGTTAGGTGAAGTTCCTGACGACTTGCGACGTTCTGCCAGAACGAACATAGGAGCTTTGGGTAACATAGGGCCAGTGGTAAAACAAACCACCTTCCGTGCGGTTCTCACAGTGGCTAGCAGCCGAAAAATGTTGGCAAGGCACGTCAACATTGAAACAGCATATCTCTATGGCGAATTAAACGAAGAGATATTCATGAAACAGCCTCCTGGGTTCGAGCCCGAGGATCCAACCAGGGTATGCTGTCTCAAACGCAGCTTGTATGGGCTAAAACAGGCCCGCGTGTTGAACCGAAAGATCGATGCAGTTCTGAAGGAGATTGGATTCCAACAGTCGAAGACTCCATCTGAAATATTTCAATAGTATAATTCCCTTGCAAACCCAAATAAATATATCTCCGCAAAAATAAATAAAATAAGAGTGATTTGCGGCAAAACCCGCCAGTACCGCACCCAACGTCAGTGCCTATACGTAAGCGTACTACAACGCGGCTCTCAAACAAAGGAGTAACAAGTGTGATACTATCACTGCTGGACTAGATCTTTGGTTTTTTCATGCAGTGGTTTATCAGAGAGGGGAATTTCATTCTATCGCGGCATGGGCCAACAACGCCGGCCATAAAACTACCGTCTCCAACACTCCACTATAAAGCATGAAATTAAGCCCGCCCACCAACATCAAGGTGCAAAAACTAGTCAAGGGGAGGGAATAATAGTGGGCGTTAAGTTTTTTTTTCATTTCGCTGCAATAAACCGCGGTCAAATTGTCCTCCCACTGCAAAAAACATAAGACAAACAAAACAACGTCGTCAAAAAACTCACCTGCAATACTCGCTAAACGTCAGCACGTAGCATTTGTCTTCGATGCACGCTACGCTATTGTGATCCTTGTGACGCGAGGCAAACACTTCATCCGGCCCGTCAACCGCTTGCCTTCCCTGTTCCGTGTGCTCCGGCCGGTAGTACCAGAGAAGGGACATCATCATTTCGCCTAAAATAAGAACCCGATTCAAAACCCAGATCATGCAACCCTTGCCAACCATGTTCTTACCATCTTCCGGATTCTCCCACAGATGTGCCACCTTCGCCACGTAGGGAAGTTCCGCTCGTTTACTACCTGCCCGCAGCAGGACACAGTCTCTCGGCCGAATGGTGTCCCCCTCGGAATGTCGCATCGCAGGGTAGCAGGTTCTCAGCACAGGCGGGTCGTCACTCTGCAGAGAGAAAAAAAACGCCGCATCAGTCAAATAATTCCATAATAAATAGGGGAAATGGCTCTAATGTTGGCCTATGGATCTAAGATTGGGCCCATCGCTCAAAATCTGCTATTTTTCAATTGTATCTACATGAACGCGTCATTGAGACGGTACTAATGGATATTTTTGGTCTCTATTGAAAATATAGCCGATTGATGAATTTATGTATGGGCTCAAATTAGGGGCATTTAGGCCGACATTACACCCATTTCCCCTACTTCCTAGAAAAGCAATTCATCGTCAAATGACGAATCGATTTGATGTGACCTTCTCCGAATGGCATGGACCTTTGCATAATTTATAATTACTTTTTTGTGAAAATGTACATGGTAAAACAATTTAAGTAATTTTGGGTAATAAATCCAAAAAAAGTGCTTAAAACATAAATAACAAAAAATGACTCCCTTCAATATTTTTTTAAATTTTTCATTTTAAAGCTTATAAAAACTGATATCTTTTGTGAAATTTTTTATCAATTTTTAAGTCTATTAAATTTTTCCCTTTTAGGTAAGTGTTCAACTTGAAATTTTCATAGAAGTTAGCATTTTGTATAATCTCTATAATGTTTTATAAGTTTTCACTTTTTGATTTTTTTACCCAAAATTACCCTTTCGATTGGAAGTGACATTTTCGAGTTATAATTTCTTGAAACATATCGAATATACCATTTTGAAGTATTTTGTGATATTCAAAATGGCCGACTTTTAGCTCAAATGTGAAAGATTGACCATAACAAACAATTATGCAAAGTTTCATGAAAATCGAAGAAAGTCGAGACTGAAATTCAATTTATTTGCTATTTTGCCGGGAAATACCCGAAACTCACATTCAGAAACACCTTCCCCTGGAACGGCTGCCCCTCCCAGGTCCAACCGTTGCTCCAGCGCGGTGCACTGGTGCTCTTCCTTGGCACGAGCACTTCCTCCACCTCGGTGGCCATTCGAATCCGGTGCCGTTTCTTGATGCTGAACTTTCGCGATTTGGACTTGGATCGGGATCGGGACACCCGCTGCTTCAGCGATCCGGTCCCCTTTTTGGCAAATCTCTTGGCAAGCATGATCTCCTCCTCGTCGTCTTCTTCTTCCTCGTCTTCCATGGTGTCGTCCATGGTGTCGAGCAGTTTATTCTCCGCCGGAGCAGGGACCCCCAGCGCCACCTCAGCAGCCGAAGTTGCCGAAGTCGCCAGAGGATCGTCCTCTTCAGTGGCCATCCCTAGGGCATTCTTGTTCTCGATGGCGCTATTGTTATTGTTGTTGAGCCTGTGAATCATCGTATTGGTATCGACGCTCATCATGTCGTCGTCCACTAGCATCGTTGTAGCATCGTCAAAGTCCGTCTCTCGATCGTCCACCGTGGACTCGGCACCGACGGCATTAACATCCAGTGGGTTCGGTTGAATCTCTTCATCCGGTTGTTTCGGTTCTTCCACCTCCGGTGATGCCACCACTGCCACCGCCGGCGGAGGTAAAGGTGTAGAGGTAACACGTTTCTTGCCACTGATCTTCGGAGCTTTGGCGTTAGATTTCTTTTTGCTGCTTTGTTTTGCTTCTTTCTTCGGTTTCTTTTCCTTCGGTTCGGAAACCGGCTGCTGTTTCGTTTTCGAAGCTTTCTTCGGTTCGTTGATAGCCCGCTCCGAAGGATCAGCGTTGGCGTCCACCTTCTTGGACTTGCACTTGCTCTTCCGCTTGTCAAAGTCTACGTCCAACGAGTTTAGTTTCTTGGGCTTCTTGGATGACGAGTGTTTGCTGCATTCGGAGCTACGATCCCGTTTGCCGCGGTTCTGTTCCGATTGCGATCGTCCTTCCTGTTGTTTTAACTTCTTCAGTAGGCGCGAGTTGGCCTTGGCTTCGGTGGAGAATATTTCCGGCTCGGAGAAGTAACCCTTGGCTACTAGGTCGATCGTAAGATCGACGTTCGACATCGGCCGAGGTCGTTCTTCTTGAGGGTCCTCGACGGTTGTAGGTTTCGGCTGTTCACAAACCGGCTTTGTCTCCAGTACAGGGTCTTCCGGAATGATGATCGTTTCTATTGGTTCCGCCAACTTTGGGTCTCTCGGTACACACGAGGGCCTCTTGGCGTCACTTCTAATGCCCTTGGTTTTGAAGAGCGTCTTGTTGATCTTCTTCAAGTGATGTAGGTGTTCAGCCCCAAACACCCGTCGCGTTCGTTTCAGTACCTTCCGAGGTTTGGATAGCAGTAGCTTCCTGGGTTTGGGTTTCTTTTTCGCCACTCGTTCTTCCTCTTCCTCGTCTTCTTCCTCCTCATCGTCATCGCTGAGGACCATGATGGTGCTCTCGTCGTCCACATTTGTACGTTTGATCAGATTCTTATAGCTATTGGGTGGTGACTTCTTCGGCGTGGACTTTTTGCAGGCGACCAGCAACGGTCTCCGCTTGACCGTCGAGGCCGGAATTTCAGGTAGGACACTATCGACTAATTGTACTTTCTCGTTACTAATACTACTGTTGTTGGTACTAACACTATTGTTGTTACTGTTGTTGATGCTACAACTATCACTACCGGTAGTCTTACTTGTTTTCAGATTAGCTTCCGCGGTTAGAATATTGGATAGGATACTCTTGTCGTCGAATTTTTGCGATTCTTTGAAGCATAGCTCCGAGACCATTCCCTCCTTTTTGATGAGTGCCTCGTCCAGCAGGAGATCCGGCGTCATGGCTGGACCGTTCTCTTCAAAGTCCTCTTTCTTGCAGGTCACCATCGCCGGAGGTTCCAGTTTGACTTCGGGAAGCTCCTGTTTGATCATGGCGGCGGCCGCGGCCGTTGTCAGCGGGAGTAGCTTCGGAATGTTGTTGATGGATTTGGATTCGGATTCGAGAGTCGGGGTGGATGGTTCCTCCTTGACGTCGGTGAGCAGAGGCCCGGTGGAGGCGTTAAAGTGATGGAGAGGATGCGTTGGTGGTGGTGCCGAAGGCCGGTGATGGTGGTGGTAGTGGTGATAGCTGTACGGGTGCAGGTCACTTTCCGGTTTAACCTGATGGGCGCTAGTTGGTTCGGAGGGGGTGACTGTCGTGGTTGAGGTGGTTGTGGTGGTCATGGCGGAGGAGTTGGTACTCGAGTTACTGGCCATTGTTGTGGTGGTGGTCGTTGTCGTCGGGGTTGAATAGGATGACGGCGGCGCTACTTCGACCGGATGCATGATCGGAGGTGAATGGAGGTCCAGCGGTGCCGGCGAAGAAGACGTGGATGAACCGGAGGAGATCAAGATCGGTTCATGGTGGTTGTTGTTTGCTGTTGTTAGCGATACGACTGGGTAGATACCGGCCGTGCTCGCGATATGATGGCTGTTTTGGGTTGTTGTGCTGGCTACTGGGCCCTTACTGACCTTGATACCAATAAGGGACCCAGCATTGACGTTTTTTGGACACGATTGCATCGGACAAGGGCAATTGGTCGTGTAGTGAGCATCTGGAAGCGAGAGCAGGGAAATAGATTAGCAAGGATTCGAACCCGAAGGCACTTGAAGGCATACAAAATGGTGATGAACGAAATATGACCACACAAACACTTCAACTGTATACGAATTCAAGGTAACATAAGGTTTCAATACAAAACCAAAGAATGCAAAGAATACGGACACTCTTTTGACTGGACTCGCGGCACACACGTTTAAGGTGAAGTGAAAGGTGATTCCATACATTTGCTTACCCATATACGGCGGCGGTTGCAGGTTACGGGAGTAACACTGCCCACCGGGGCCCGGGCCAGGACTACCGTAGCCAGGATACGGATATGGCGGTGGACCGGGATAGTGCTCCAAGTGCTGGGGGCCTTGCGGTCCGGCTGGAACCAGCTGTGCACCGGACGGCGGTGGCAAGGGTCCACTCGTGGGAGGTGGCGGTTGTTCGTACAGGTGTTCACCTGGACCGGGATGACCCGGGTAGTACCGGCGGCTTGTGGGATAGTACTGGGCAAACTTGGGATAGAAGTGTGCCGGCGGATACGCATGGGCGTAGTACATCTCCGGAGGATACTGGCTGTAGGGTGGTGCCGCGTAGTAGTTTGGCGCCAGGTGCGGCGGTGGACAGTGCATCTGGACCGGACGGGAGTACAGGTTTGGTGGACCGGACGGACCGTAACGACCGTAGGGCTGCGATCGGGACGACAGATCGCCACCTGAAAGACGAGAGAAGTGGTCAGTGTGATTCAAATTAATATCGATTATCTTGGACGCACCTGTTAGCAGGACATCGCTGTCCGTGCTGTCCGCAGTTGACGAAGACGGCGGTTGGGCTAGCGATTGCACCGGGGAGTCCGACTCGGGTGGCTGTTTGGTGATGGTGCTGCTGCTGGCGCTATGCTGTGACGAGGAGCTGGGTGGCGCTTGTGCCAGCAGGTGAGGGGATATCAACGGACCAGCCGGTTGATAGTAGCCTGGAAGAGACGCAAAGGAGAATGAAAAAAAACATGTGAGTGAAAGCTTGCGGTGAGGAGTAGGTACCAGTGGACGTTTCGTAAGCTCATAATTTGACGCCGAGTACGTGCGAAACAATTTACCACCAGCCAGAGTGTAGCCACTAACAGCATTAAACAGTTAAGTTTAAATGGTTTTTGAACTAAGAGTATTTGTACAAGTTGTGCTATTCTCAATATTCTCCTGCTGTTCTGTCTGTCTGTTGCTGAGTTGCACTTTGCGGGGATGCAGTCGTCGTCGTCGTCGTCGTACGTTGTGCGATAGTCTCATGAAAGCGAAGGTGGTAAAAGCGAAAGGGTAAGCCATTTTCAGGGCATTTAATAATTCAACTTTGCTCCGTGGGGTTGAAAGCGTATTATACCGAGTATGACTCGCTCGTAGCTTTTCATTTCGGGAGTAAATTTGCCCTTGTTTCTTTCGTAGAATTCCTTTGCCAGGCTGCTTCTGGGGTGCAGTTTGCTCTGCTGTCTGGCAGAGGGTTTATTTATTAGTTTTGAACTATATGCTTCAAAATTACTACTGCTGCTGGTACTGGTGCTCGTGAAAAGTTGATTATCTTGCTTTGGCCTTAAACGGAGAAGTCAAAGACCGAATAGAAGTTTACGCTTGCTTGCTGTTAGTTTTTTTTTTTAATATTAATTAAACATCGGCATCAGATACCATTCATTTTAAGATTTCCACTCGACAATGCGATTTAAGTAAATTTGTCAGAGCTTAGGCTTAGTTTGGTTAGAAAATTTGCCTAATTTCCGAGAAAGTTAGATCCTATCTTTGTAATAATTTTCATATAATAATTAGTATTTTCCTGGTGAATGTCTTAGTGGAATACCTGCATAGAGAAAGAGAGAAGGATTAGTAATTTGGAATTAATTCCACTACCTTATTTGCTTATCCTTGACAGATACACGCATTTCGTCAATAATGTGCAGACTTATTCAGTGTATTATATTAATAGTCAAGTATTAGTACAAGACACTGAAGAAGTCTGCACATTGTAGACGAAGTACGCGTTTCCGTCAATTCTATACTTTCATCTCCTCATCTATCGTATAAAATTACCACTTTAGTCTGTAATACCTAACCACGAAGACTGAAGATTGAAGATTAAGATCCAACTACAGACCCAGGTACTCAGAAACGGTCCTCCAAAAGATTCGAATAGCCCAGCGTTGCTACACGAATGAATTTGAATCTGGGACCCGCATGCGCGCACTGGTGGTCACAAAACTGTCCTCTGGGAGATCCGGAACATCAATAAAAGTGGTCAATTCGTAATAATGATCGAAATATCTTGCTCTTCGTATGTCTTCGTATCCTCATCTTATAAAAGTTGCGCACCAAAATGCATAAAGGCTTTTTCGGATGCCCATCTGGATTAATAGATTACATATTTTAGCTTGTGAATGTATCAAGCTCGGTTGGTCGAATTTAATACGGTAGATTTATTGACATCAGAAAAAACAATTTGAAACCTTCAAGAAGTTCTGATTGATAGAAATGTGGGGAAGTTAAAAGATCTTTAAGAGTATGTTTCGACAGCTCCAGAACAATCTCATAGATTTCAGGAAAATTTACTTCAGCGAAGATCAAGAGCTTCAGGGCAGTTCCATTAAATACAGGAAAATTTAAGCTTCAATACCTATGAGTAAGTTACGTGAACTTCGGGTAAGTTCTATGAATATCAGGAAAACAGTGAGAACTTGAGGGACGTTCCTAAAACTTTAGGTTAGTTTCGAGAACTTTATGGCCGATCCATTTATTTCAGTAAAATAGAGGAAACCATGAAGAAGTTCCAAATATTGAAGGATAGTAAAAAAACTTCAGGGAATGAACTTAAAAACATTAATAAAGCTACACAGAAGATCCATGTTTAAGGGGGGAGTACACTTTGATTTTTCAAAAAAAAAATGCATTTTTTTTTGGCTTAAAATGTTTCTTGGGATGTATATTTTAATTTAGAAAAGACTCCAAGTCCGCCAGAATATTCCTTACCGCTTTACAAAGCGATTTCCTAAAACATGTACCAGCGCGTTTGAGAGAGAGCATTTTATCTTTAAACGCGTTTATCTCGAAACGGGGTTTTTCAAACTGGCGTGGGAAATAGCTCTAACCAGTTATCATCAAATTTGGATATCGCCTTGTTCAGAATTAAATTCTGCTTAGAAATACGTATCCACATTTTCGATTTTGTCAAAAATGGATTTTTAATCCACGATTTTGTAAGCATTTTTAGGGTGAAAAAATTGACTTTTTTTCCTAAGGCCACAACTTTTGAAAAAAATAATTAAAAAAAAATCGGAATACGTAATTCTAACCCAAATTTCATTACTAATCAGGATTTTTGTTCGATTTATGTTCCAGGAGCACATGGAAAGGAGTATTTTCCCACGCCGTTTTCCGACTTCCGCGCGAGGACGCCCGCGCGACCTGGTGCACCGGCCACGGGGAGACGCCAATCGAGTTCAAAAAAAATACAAATTGTAGTTCGAAGGATGACTAATAAATGGGTTATAACATATTTGCCTCCCTGAATGTTTTATTGCTTAAAAAAATTAACGAAAATGCCTTACTTTTTGGACGTTCAAAGTGTACTACCCCTTAAAAGGAAATTTAAAGATCTTCTGGGCAGTTCCATTAATTTCAGAACAATTCCAGGGACATCATCAGGAAAACATAAGGGAAGTTCCGTGAACTTCAGGAAACAATAGAGATCTTCAGGAGAGTCTGAGGAATGACAAGAAGTACTGAGAATTTCAGGAAGTTTCATAGGCAAACTGCGGGAACACAAGGAAAGTTCCGCAAATTTTTTGAAAATTATTGTGAACTTAAGGCAAACTTCAGGATTTTTAAAGCGGTTCCAAAAGCTTCAAGAAACTGCAGGAACATTTAAAAAAATTTGAGAAATTCAGGGATATTTCATTTTCATTTTGCAGCGTTTGGTGGGGCAATGGGAGCGCAAGTCAATCCAAAGCCGAGGATAAAGGACGGGTAATGGCTGAATAGTCTATGCGGACCACTTGAACGCCATGGGAAAAGGAAGGGATTGAAGAGGCCGGTTATTGGGGGTTTTGAGGAGATGACACATAGTGATGCTAAATGTAAAGAAACCGAAAATCCATCTCCCACTGATTCATCCTTTCACATATATACCAAATTGATATTTTAAAGCAATAATCAAAATAAACAGACAATACTTGAAAAGGCTAGTTGCCAGTTGCTTTAAAGGCTAGTTGCCTCCCTAAGCGGACCCTCCGCATCCTAACTCTTCTGTTAATCCACTTAATGCTACTAGGCTGTCTAAATTTTCTTATTTAAGTTCGTTTGATGATTATGATATCTCTAGTCTAATTTAATAAATAATTAAAATCTCTAATCCACCTACCATGATTTATTAAGTACCTGCACTTGTGAAGGTAATCTAAAATTTAACGTGTTTCAAGTTGTTTTTGACTTTTATTTTTATTTAATATATATTAGTTTGTCCCAGGTGACACCTTCAAGTGACTAAAATGCTTCATTTTGAAGTTAGTTTCCTAGCTGATTTTTTAATTATATAGGGTATGTGCTCCAACTATGCTCACACGCTTCCACTATGTCGCACCACAAAAATCTGTATGGTTATGTCACAATAGAAGCACGCCACAGTGGAAAGCCCGAGTCATAGTTCAAACACTTATCCCAAATCAAAATGAAGCACATATAAGATTAGTTGCAATACCATGTACAAAAATGGTGTTTAACATTGTTCCCTGAGTAATACCTCAATGAAAACAACAACGAAAGCTTGTCACGCAAGTAGAAGGAGTACTGTTGGGCACTTTCTGAAATATTTCAATAGTATAATTCCCTTGCAAACCCAAATAAATCTATCTGCGTAAAAATAAATAAAATAAGAGTGATTTGCGGTAAAATCCGCCAGTATCGCACCCAACGTCAGTGCCTATACGTAAGCGTACTACAACGCGGCTTTCAAATAAAGGAGTAACAAGTGTGATACTATCACTTCAGGCTAGAACTTTGGTTCTCTTATGCAATGGTTCATCAGAGAGGGGAAGCTCAGTAATCCTCATCGCATGCTCATGACGCTAGTCACGGCATGAGCCAACGATGCCGGACCTAAACCAACCGTCTCCAACGCTCCACTATGAAGCATAAGATTAGGCCCGCCCACCAACGTCCAGGTTAAAAAACTAGCCAAGGGGAGGGAAATTTGAGAAATTCAGGGATATCCAGAGAATTTTAGGGAAGTCAAAATAATTTCAGAGATGTGGAGATAACTTGAGGAAATTGACATTTTAAAGAACTTCCAAGTACCTCCAAGAAGTAAAACTAGAGAGCTTTAGGGAATTTTAGAGATATTAATGGCACTTCCAATTACTTCATAACTTCGAGAAATTCAAGAAATTCCAGACTTTCAGGGAAGTTCGAAGATTTGTATGCGTAAGCTCCGATAAATTCCGGTCAATTCAATAAAGTTCAGAAAAACTCAGGGAATTTTCGAAACTTCATCAAATTTCAGAAACATTAGAGATCCTACATGAGCATCAGGAAAATCTGAGATTATTTTAAGGAAGTTCCATGGTATTCAATGCAGTTTAAGGAACTGCAAAAAAAGGCAGGAACTGCAGCGACGATCAGATAACGTTCAAGAAAATCGTGAGATCTTTTAAAATGTTCAGAAATCTTCAAGAACATCTAGAGACTGTCAGAGAAATATATAGATTTTTTTGGTAGTTTCATTATATTTTGGGAAGTTACCAGAACTTCGTAGATGATTAGAGATCTTCATATCAAGAGGAAAAGGGGCAACAAGCTTTTTGTAAACAAACCTTTGTAGACCCTCTTCTCGCCAACCGAGGGTCGCCCATGCAAACTAACAACATCATCGGGAAGGGGAACCTTCCCCTTTCCGGCGATGTTGATAGTTTGCGTTGGTGTCATATGGGTGGCGAGAAAAAGG